ATGAAAATGGTTTTTTATTTTGTTTTTGTTTTTTGAGGCAGAGTCTCACTCTGTTGCCCGAATTAGAGTGCCATGGCATCAGCCTAGCTCACAGTAACCTCAAACTCCTGGGCTCAAGCAATCCTTCTGCCTCAGCCTCCTGAGTAGCTGGGACTACAGGCATGTACCACCATGCCTGGCTAATTTTTTCTGTATATTTTTAGTTGGTCAATTAATTTCTTTCTTTCTTTCTTTTTCTTTTTGAGACAAAGTCTCGCTTTTTTTGCACAGGCTAGAGTGAGTTCCGTGGTGTCAGCCTAGCTCACAGTAACCTCAAACTCCTGGGCTCAAGCAATCTGCTGCCTCAGCCTCCCACCCAGCTGGGACTACAGGCATGCGCCACCATGCCTGGCTAATTTTTTCTGTATATTTTTAGTTGGCCAATTAATTTCTTTCTTTCTTTCTTTTTCTTTTTGAGACAAAGTCTCGCTTTTGTTGCCCAGGCTAGAGTGAGTTCCATGGTGTCAGCCTAGCTCACAGCAACCTCAAACTCCTGGGGTCAAGCAATCCTGCTGCCTCAGCCTCCCACCCAGCTGGGACTACAGGCATGCGCCACCATGGTCGGCTAATTTTTTCTATATATATTAGTTAGCCAATTAATTTCTTTCTATTTATAGTAGAGACAGATCTCCCTCTTGCTCAGGCTGGTTTGGGACTTCTGACCTTGAGTGATCCAACTGCCTCTGCCTCCCAGAGTGCTAGGATTACAGGTGTGAGCCACCGTGCCAGGCCTAAGAATGGTTTTATATCTGGGTTCTCTGTTCTGTTCCTTCTGTTCCACTGGTCAATGTCCCTGTTCTTGTGCCAGTACTAAGCTATTTTGATTACTATAGCCTTGTAGTATAATTTGAAGTCTGATAAATTGATACCTCCCATTTTGTTTTTATTGCCTAGAATTGCTTTTGCTATAAAGGGTCTTCTCTGGTTCCATACAAAGCGTAAAATTATATTTTTCTATAGCTGTGAAAAATGATGATGGTATTTTAATCAGGATTACATTGACTCTGTAGATCACTTTGAGTAGTATAGACATTTTCACAATGTTGAAAATGTCTACCCACGAGCATTGTATGGTTTTCCACCTGTTTACATCCTCTGCTATTTCCTTCCTCCCCACAACTCTTTAAAACATAAAAAATTAAAATAAAAAAAAAGAACATATAAGGCTATTTAATAAGGAGATCTGAACTTCTGGAATGTCAAGGGAAAATTAAAGCCCTTGAAGGGTGAGACAGGATTAGCTAGCAGAAGGGGAGAATATTCTGGGATATTTGGAAATCAGGGTGGTCCCAATCATGGCAGTGGGGATGGTATAGCTGCACCCTCACTCAGAGCCTAGCACTGGCATGGACAAGCTCACACTCCTCACAACAGCTCCATCCTGCAGATGAGGAAACTGAGGCTCAGGGAGATGTCACTTGTCCAAGGTCGTCCAGCTTTGGTAGGCTCTCAGACCACCCAGCACATGCTATTTATTGCCGCCCTTTATTGTCCTTCCTGAGCTAGCATCTCACCACGTCCAGCTCTGCTGTCCTGCCTCCTAAATGTCTCTTGCATCCTTCCCCTCCTGGCTACCCCAGGGCCCTGGTCCTGTCTCAGGCCCCTCCTCAAACCCCAGGGTCCCCAGCCCAGCCTCCTCCCTGCTCTCCTGCCCCAGTCTTGCCCCTTTACCTCCCAGCCACCGTCAGTCTGGTGGCCAGAGGGGATGTTCCTGAAGCACAAACTTGCCTCTACTTTTCTCGTGCTCAAACCTGCCATGGCTCCCCAGTGCCCTCAAGAGGAGATCTAAACTACTTAGCCTGGGAATGTAATCGCCCACAGAACCTGGTCCCTGCTAACCTCTCCCTCCATACCTATTGCTTGAGTCACCATGAACATGGGGCTCCCACACTCTGTCACTCCCCCTTGCACTTTCTGTTTTCTTGGCCTCAGCTTTCATCTATTCCCTTCTGTACTCTATTCATCCTCTAGGACTGCGGTCCTCAACCCCCCGGGCAGTGGAGCTGTATTGGTCAGTGGCCTGTTAGGAACCAGGCTGCACAGGAGGAGGTGAGCGGTGGTGAGCAAGGGAAGCTTCATCTGTAATTATGGCTGCTCACCATTGCTCCCATCACCCCCTGAGCTGGTTACAAGTGTCACAGCGGGTGGTCTTGAGGACAAACCCAGCGGGCACACGGAGAGTTGGAGAATCAAAGTTTATTCACCGGTGGGTTCAGAGGGGTCTCACCACCGAATTCTGAGCCCCATCTACCCGATTTTTCCCACTTTTATTAAGTTGGGGTGGCCCAAGGGTTGGGATATCAGGTGACTAATGCCCTCCAGGTAATTTTTTTTTTTTGAGACAGAGTCTCACTTTGTTGCCTAGGCTAGAGTGAGTGCCATGGCGTCAGCCTAGCTCACAGCAACCTCAAACTCCTGGGCTCAAGCAATCCTCCTGCCTCAGCCTCCCAAGTAGCTGGGACTACAGTAATGCGCCACCATGCCTGGCTAATTTTTTCTATATATATTAGTTGGCCAATTAATTTCTTTCTATTTATAGTAGAGTTGGGGTCTCGCTCTTGCTCAGGCTAGTTTCCAACTCCTGACCTTGAGCAATCTGCCTGCTTTGGCCTCCCAGAGAGCTAGGATTACAGGCTTGAGCCACTGTGCCTGGCCCCTGCCAGGTAATAGGTTAGTGTTATGTTGATGCATCAGGTAATAGGGTAGTTGAAGCACCAGATAATAGGTTCAGTGTTATGCTGATGTACCAGGTAATAGATTAGTTGCTGGGCCAGGTAATAGGTTAGTGTTATGCTAATGTGGGTCTTCTGTGAGGGGTGGGGGTCTCAGGTGGCTGATGCCAGGCCAAGTAATACATTAGGGTTTTCCTTATCAAGCTCTGCCTCCTGTCAGATCAGCGGTGGCATTGATAGATTGGCATTAGATTCTCATGGGAGCCCAAACCCTACTGTAAACTGCGCATGTGCGGGATCTAGGTTGCTGGCTCTTTTTGAGAACTTAATGCCTGATGATCTGACATGGAGCTGGGGCGGTGATGCTAGCACTGGGGAGCAGCTGCAAATACAGACGATCATTAGCAGAGAGGTTGGACTGCACAATACATGTGATGCGCTTGAATCCTCCTGAAACCTCACCCCCGCCCCTGCTCCCCATCTGTGGAAAAATTGTCTTCCATGAAACCAGTCCCTGGTACCAAAAAGGTTGGGGACTGCTTCTCTAGGACCAGCTGGGCTGTCCCCTCCTCTGGAATTCTTTCCTAACTCCCAGTCCAAGCTGAGGACCCCTGCTGGGCTCCTCCAACCCCATGGGTTCCCCTAATCCCCTAGCCCCTAATTTTGATTGTCCCTGACTGAGAACAGGTCTGTGTCCCCCCACTGGACTAGACTAGCTCCAGGAAGGCAGGCCCTGGGGCTCTGTCTCTGCAGTGTCCCCAACACTGCCCAGCACATGGGTGGGCATGCAGTAGGTACTTAGCACATTTATTATTTAATAAGTTAATTCATTCTACCATGATAACTCCCCTTGCATATTCACTTACCCAGGCATCTGTGTGACCTCTGGACATCACCTCAACTCCCAGGGTGCTTGCTGTTATGCAAATGAGAGAGACCTTAGATTTTGCAATGAGGGTGACACCATTGTATCTTTTTTTTTTTTTGACGGAGTCTCACTGTGTTGCCTGGGCTACAGTGCTGTGGCATCTGCCTACCTCACAACAACCTCAAACTCCTGGGTTCAAGGGATCCTCCTGCCTCAGCCTCCTGAGTAGCTGGGACTACAGGCAAGAGCCACCATGCCTGGATAATTTTTTTTCTATATATTTTTAGTTGTCCAATTAATTTCTTTCTATGTTTAGTAGAGACGGGGTCTCGCTCTTGCTCAGGCTGGTCTTGGACTCCTGACCTTGAGAGGTTTTCCTACCTTGGCCTCCCAGAGTGCTAGGATTACAGGCGTGAGCCACTGTGCCTGGCCCATCTGCCCCATTGTATCTTTTTTTTTTTTTCTGAGACAGAGTCTCTCTTTGTTGCCCAGGCTAGAGTGAGTGCCGTGATGTCAGCCTAGCTCACAGCAACCTCAATCTCCTGGGCTCAAGCCATCCTCCTGCCTCAGCCTCCCGAGTAGCTGGGACTACAGGCATGCGCCACCATGCCCAGCTAATTTTTTTCTATATATATTAGTTGGCCAATTAATTTCTTTCTATTTATAGTAGTGACAGGGTCTCGCTCTTGCTCAGGTTGGTCTCAAACTCTTGACCTCGAGCAATCCACCTGCCTCGGCCTCCCAGAGTGCTAGGATTACAGGCCTGAGCCACCTCGCCGGCCCCCATTGTATCCTTAAACAGAAAAAATGGCACAGTTTTTAGTTTGGTCAGTCTCAGGTTGGCCTCAGTATGTTCATAGCCCCAAAGAAGTGGTCATATGACAAAAACAAAAGGAAACACATCTTCACTGCAAAAGGGACTTCAGTTTTTGTAGTTCATATAACCCTGAGAACTTTTTTTCTTTCTTTCTTTCCCTCTCTTCCTTCCTCCCTCCCTCTTTCTCTCTTCTTTCTTTTCTCTCTTTTTCTTTTCTTTTGTTTTTTTTTATTAGCCTAAGCGTAGTCTTTAGTAGTTTGCTTGCAGGATTCTTCAACTCCTACTGTGCAATGTTTACCTCCTTAGTTTCTGTTCTAAGCCATTGAGTATAAAAGCCGGATCACCGAGAAACCTCTAAGACCCCACACCTAGAAGCTAATATTCGCCCACCCCCTTTTTCTATCAGGAGGCACTGCCTGTGTGTACAGGAAGTCCCCTCAACTGTCTAGCTTCCTTTTATCCTGCTGTAGGCTGATTCACTAGTAGTAGTTCCTGCGTGCATGCACTGTGTGTACGGTCCCCCCAGCAATGGAACCTCACTCCCTCTTGCTAGAGGGAGGCCTGGTAATGCGAGTCAGGAGAAAATAGACACTTGGGCCTGGTGCATGCTTTTTAAAGAGCTTTTTTATTGGCGACAGTGCAGAACCAAGGGGGGAGGAGAGCGGCCCAGCGCCAGTCTGCCCCAGCCCCCCAGGGTCAGGTGCAAAATACAAAAAGAGAACCACAAACACAGCAGGGTGGGGGGTTGGGGATTCAATCACTGTGGTCGGCAGGGGCGCCCCTGCTCAGAGTCTCACACTGGCACCCAGAATTCTCAAAGATACAGATTGTAAAACTCTATGATCCCTCAGGCTTACACAACAAAAATAAAATCTCATGTCCCCAGTGAACCAGGTGTCAGAAGACAGCTGGAGGATCAAGGACAGTCAGATAGGAGACAGGTAGAAATGGTCCCAGATGAAAACAGGCAGAGGGCAGACAGGAGAGAGACAATCAGAAGAGGGATAGCTGGAGACAGACAGCCAGAGACAGGCTGGTTCGAAGTTTCCAGAAGCAGTGTTTCCAATTCAACGGCTCGCTTTTAGGGCCAACGTGACCTAGGCCGAGGCTGCAGAAGCGCTCACACACTCACTCGCGCACACACCCCCATATATAATATATTTATTTATACATAATAGATATAAGTGCCTTTCGGAAACCAGGAAAGGGATAAATAGCTAGGGGAGGGGTCTGGGCCGGGCACGCGGACTGTTTTCCATGCAGCACGGAGGGGCATTGCCCACCCTCTATATTAAAAAATATAAATTTGCCTCGTGATAAAATTGTCACGAGGTGAAGCACAGGGCAGGCGGGAGGGACAGGACTAGGGCCGGGGGAGTCGGGGCGGGAGGCTGGGGTCGGGAGCCCAGCCCTGTCGAGTTTGCCAGTCCACAGACATTCCGGGTTGGGGGGCAAAGCCTCAGCCCTGAAATCTTCTCCAGAAAAAAATGTCGCCCCCCCTGGTTCCCTTGCTAAAGAGGCTGCGGGGCGGCCGAGGGGAGGGAGAAGTCGGCGTCCTAGGCTGGGGACAAGTGACAGGCCTTAAAGGCAAAGGCCAGGGCTTGGGGCTGAGGGTCCTGAGGGGACAGAGAGGCCCCGGGGATGGAGAACTGTCACCCCCTTGAGTCTAACTCACCGTTGAGGGCAGGTGGGCGGGGACGGGAGACCAAGGAAAGGCTTTGGGAGTGGGGGACACAATCCCCCCGGACGGGCACTGTCCCACCCAGCACCCCCACAATCCGGCCAACTCGTTTCACAGTATAAACACCCAAGCAGGACGGGCACCACGGCGCTCCCTGCAGCCTGAAGTCAGAAAGGTCCAACAAGGAAGGCCAGGAGGGCAGGGCTGGAGGGAGCAGGACTGGAACCCTTAGGAGGGGACATTCCAATCGGTGCCAGCTTTCTGGGAGGGAGCGGCTGGACGGTCAGGGAGGGAAATTCACATTTCAGAGTCAGTCTGGGGCGGGAGGGGGGGCTGTCAGAGGGGAACACGGACTCCCCTCTGCGGGGCGGGGCTCGGCTCTGCCCGGAGGAGGATCTGAGCCCGTGGGAGCGTGGGACAGGGAAGCCGAGGTCCGGAGGGCAGGGGGAGCCAGCCTGGTCACCCGCCGAGGGGTCGGGGTCGGCGTGGGGGACGTCGGGGAGGTGGCATTTCCTTGTTGGACCCCTCTGGAGAGGCCGCCCGCCCACCCCGCGGCCCACGCCGCGCCCCTCCCCTCCAGCCCCACGCGGGACCGCCCAGAAGTGGGCGTCGCCCCCCACCCACCCTTCCCGGAGGCTGGGTGCGGTGAGAGGGTCAACAGGCCGCTAGCCGGGCGTGCCCATCCCCTTCCCTCCCCTGGTCCCCAAAGTCACCGGCTCTCCGGCCTTGCCGGGGCCCGGGAGCAAGAGGCAGCACAGAACGCAAGGAGTCCTCCCTCCCGTCCGACGGCGACGGCAGAGTCACACAGAAGGGCCGGGGAGGCCACACACCCGCTTTGTCTCTTCCCCTCTCTCTCCTCCTCCTCCTCTTCCAAGTCTCTCTCCCTCGTGTGTCTGTTTGTTTTGTGTTTCTAAAGAGTTCACAGAGCGAGAAGGGAGGGCGAGTTCAGGGGCTCGGAAGGCTGGTCGCTGCCGCTGGGGCGCTGGGCGCTGGCGAACGCGGAGACCTCCGGGCAGGTGAGGACAAACGAGGAAGTGTACGAAGGGTTAACAACGGGGAAGGGGTCGCCGAGGACTTGAACTTCACTGTGTGTAAAGAGAGAAGCTGTCAGGTTGGGGGCTGCGTCCTGGCTGGTCTGGAAGGGCAGGGGCGGTGGTGGCGGGGGCGGCAGCAGCCAGCCGAAACCATCTTCCTTAGCGGGCGCTGGCCCCGGCAATTCTCTCACCTCCGCCAGCGGGCCGGGCCCAGGCCCCTCTTCGTAGGGGATCTTGCAGCCCGGTTTGTGGGCCACCAGCACAAACTCCAGACGCTCCTTCTCCTTTTGGAGCTCGGCGATCTCCGACTCCAGCTCTGCCTTTTCTTCCTCCAGCTGATCTGTCTCCTGAGGCCCCGGAGGCCAGGTCATGTAGAAGAGAGGGAGGAAGGAGAAAAAGACTGTCAGCCACTTGGAAGAGGCGGTCATGGCTGCCCTGCACCTGCGGCTGAGGCCTGGGGCTGGAAGGCAGCTCCCAGCTGGGAGGAAAGACCCCCTGAGCCGGAGTCCTGGCATGCTGTGGAACTTGGGCCAAGGGTCTGGCATTCTAGGAGCTACAATTTCTGCGTCTGTCCACGGGATGGTTGGGAAGGGGCCGGGTGCACATGGAAGTCTCTGGTGTACAGGAGGCACTCAGAGGTTTGTTGGATGAATAAAAAATTATTATGTGTTTTTAATGTGCCCCCCTGTTACTCCTCCCTCTCTGCCTCCCAGGGAAGAGACAAATTGAGTATTCCCCTGGTTTCCTCGAGGGGTAGCAGGTCACCCTGCAGGCATGAAGCAGGGAACTCTCAGACCAAGGTGGGGCATAGGAAGGGAGTGGGCTTCGGTGGATGTCACCAGCCCAAGTGCTGAAGAACTGAGCATGGCTGGGGAAGGAGCTGGGGAATTGACAAAGGATCAAATAATTGCATTTCAAAGACTCTCCCAAATGTTAAAAGTAGACCACTCATCCTGGGAGATGGGGTGAGGGGTTGAAGAGATGGAGAAACCAAGGCAAAATGGGTTATCACTTGCCCGAGACCAATGGGAGAGGGGACTGGTGCTTCCCTTCCCTAGACACCCCCACTTGTCACCTCAGGATGAAGTGAAGGCCAGGAGACTGGGGCATAGGGGCATAAGTCGGGAAAGGGAGTAGCCAGGAGTCAGGATAAATATGTGGGGGTCTGTGTGCGCACAGGGCTGCCCCATCTGGCCATACCTGTACCTAGTCCCATTTGTGGAACCTCTGGTTCTTATCCCAGAATAATGGCACAGGTGGAGGGGGGACAGAGAATGGGGAGAGAGCCCCCTCAGCATACCCTCGCCCCACCCCAGGGACTGTCCTCACCGCCTGGAGTCGGTCGGTCAGCTCCCTCCGACGGTTCCTACACTTAGCTGCCGCCAGCTTGTTCCGTTCCCGGCGAACCCTTCGCTTCTCCTCTTCCTCCGGAGTAAGCTGAGTAAGGGGAGACACAGGCCATGAGGTTTGGGGACACAGTGCACTTCCTCCATCCACCCGAGCCTCCACTTCTCACAGAACCCCTAGGAGCCACAAAAGGACTCTAGTCCTCGCTGACGGTAGCAAGGATCACGGCGTGTTTGCAGCTTTGAGGCCTTAATAAACCCCCACCCATGAGAAAGTTCCTGCCTCTCTTGTTTCTACCTCCTAGGGCCAAGCTCTGGTGCCCCTTACTCACCGTCTCCTCTCGGGGTCTTCTGGGCCGGGCTCGGGCCGGGCGGGCAGGCCCAGGTCCACTGGTGGTTCCACTGGTGGAAGGCCCGCCACTGCCACTAGCTCCGCCACTGCTGTAGCCACTCAAGCCTGGTGTGGAGTAGCTGGTTCCTGGCATGTCGTAAGGGTCGACAACTGGGGGCTGGGAGGCCAGTGGCTGTCCCTGGGACTGGGCCATGGAAGAGATGAGGGTGGGTTGCACAAGCCACTGGAGGTCCTGGCTGGTTGTGATCGCGGTGACCGTGGGCACGAAGGAACCGGGCATTTCCCCGAGACCGGCGCACTCCTACGGGGTGACACATACACACACAGGCGTAGACACACAAACAAAGACACCGACACACACACACCCAACACACATAACACACAGCGACCCCGTGAGTGAGCACAGGGTGAGCAAGTGTGGATGTGTGTGTCACAAGGAAAAAACCACAACACCCACCCTTCCACTACACCGTGACGCAGTGGTTAATGAGAGGATTTCTGCTCAACTGGCTTCTACCTCCTCCTCCTTCCTCGGGGAAAGGTTGCACGGTTCCAGCGGGTGGTGAATCACACCCCGGGTTGGTGACTCTTAGGTGTGGGGGGTGGAGAGGAGGCTGGACACAGCCGGTGACAGAACCCCCGGGAGGGAGCCACAGCCACACACACAGCCACAACACCCCACCCCCACCCCAGAGGCAAGGGGAGGGAGAAGGAGAGGCCTTAGGCCAAGCCTTCCTCTACACTCACACACATACACACACCCCTCGGTGCGACAGGCGGGGGTCCCAGCTAAAAGGGTATTGGGGGGACGGGCCTAGGAGTTTAGGACAACGTTTCAAGTAACTGTCTCTCCCCAGAGTGAGACTGACAAGTGACAGGTTAGGGTGAACGGACAGGTAAAGTCACCACCCGGGCTCCCTTAGATTGTCCCAGAGGGGGAATAGTGCAGGATCTGAGCCCCCAAGCCCAGGCAGAACTCATCTCCCCCCACCCGCAAATGGAATCCTGGAACTGCTCTGAAGGCTTAACTACTCTCTCGGGGGGCGTGGAGAGGGATGGGCTGGCGCGCCGGCCAATCAGCGCCCTGAGAACCCAGAGGGGGCGGGGCTCCTGGAGACCACCTGGCTTGTTCCCCTCCGGTTAGCGATTCTAGTCCTGTCTTCGGATACAGCGGAGGGACCTGGAGTCCGGAGCAGAGGGAGTGGGGCTGTGTCTGTGTGTGCCTACGGACGAGGGTGACGGCCACCATGGCTCCCCGAGAAACGGCGGCGCACAAACAGACACTCCCTGCCCGTGAGAGCCGAGGGATCCGATCCCCGCAGAGCCTTCGCGAACCCATTGAGTCGCGAAGAGTCGCTCTTGTCGCGATAGGAATCCCCTCGCTCGGCCTCTGCAAGCCGGTGAAGCAGACCCAAACTCCCTGGAACCACGGGTTCCGGGGACCCAGAGGGGGAAGGAAACTGCACCCTACAAATAGGAAGGGAAAGTTGATTGGCCAAAGCCCGCGCCGCAGCGACCAATCGGAACGCCGGGCTGCCCCCTCCCTTAGCAACGTGGCCCCGGCGTTCCAAAATAGAACGCTCCCTGGACGTCAGGGGCGGGGCGGACGAAGGGGGCGCCGCGCGCTGTGCGTGCCCCGCGTCAGACGGAGGATTCCAGCGCGTCAGCCGTTACGCACGGGTCCCCCGTTACGTCTCGGCGCTGGAGGCGGAGGCAGCGCGGCTGAGGGTTCGAGGCCAGCTTTACCGATGGGTGGAGGGCTACCCGGCGCCGGAGTCGGCGCCCCGCAGGAGGAGGATAGGGGAGAAGGCTGCTGGAAGGTATCCCCGGATTTCCCCCACTTGCCTAACTGCGCTAGCTTCAGGTTGGGGACCTGAGTCGGGGGCAGTCCCAGGGCCGGCTAAAAGTTCTCAGTCCCGTTACCGCATACACGTTGCACTGAGCGGCTCGTCCCCTCCCCCTCCCGCCCCAAAGCCTACCTAGCTGCGTTCCCTCCCTGCGCTCCACACGCATAACCAATTGCAAACATCTCCCGACTTTTTGCAGTTTGCAAAGTGCGCTGTGAGCCCGTCCCACCTCGGATCTCGGCTTTTGAGGTGTCTTTATGTGAGGGGTTAGGGCTGCTCTCTCCACCCTTGACTTAGAAAATAAAACCTACAAAACAGCACCCCTATTATCTAGAACTTACCTGGGAGGCGGCGGCGGTGGGTGGGCTGCCGAAGGAGTCCACCGAAGATAGATACTGAGACTCGGCAGAAGGTGAGGAGCTGCACCGGGAGCCGGAGTCGTAGTCTCCGGGGAAAGCCTGAAACATTTCCCTGGGCACAGGGGGCGGCCTGTGACCACGCTGAGGTCGCCGGGAAGCCAAGGCTATGGCCGGGTGGGGAAAGTAAGGTGCGAGTCCGGAGGGAGACGAGGAGTCCTCAAAGTACGCTGTCCGGGGAAGCTCGGGGAGGGGACAGAGTCCCGCTCCAACAATGGCAAAGTTTCTGTGTAGTCCTTCTGCGGTGCCCAGGCCCCCACAGGATGCCGCTGTGCCTCCTGAAAGTCCAGGCTCCGTAGGACTGCGCGGCGAGGGGGATCGCTCCCCCAGGAACAGAAAGCACTGTCCCGTTGTACAGACTCTGCTTCCGTGCGGTCTTCACGCCACCGGCCGGTCCCACGGGGGGAGGGGAGTCAGAAAGAGGGCGAAAAGTCGGTTCCTCCAAAGTAAAATGAAGAAGTATCTAGAAGAATCCTTCCAAAAACTTTCTCTCCGGAAAAAAAAAAAAATAAACCAAATATCACAGCCCTCCAGGAGAAGAATCACAATAATCAAGTTTCCAAGTCCCGGCTCCGCGTATCCCTGTCGTGGCCGTAGCTCTCAGTCTTATGAATGAAGCACAGAGCCGCCAGCCTGTATTTATATGCCAGGATCCGCCCCCCGTGCTTACGTCACGTCTCTGCTCTCCACAAACTTCCCCAAATCTCCCGCCCCGCTAAACCCAGCGGCCCGCCGTCCAGCCAGAGGTCTTCCCTAACCTCGATCTGGTCACCTGCGTGACCTTCGCGGCCCCAGGGGTCCCGGGAGGTGCATTCAGGCCTCGCGGCGGGAGGAGATCCTGGCCCCGCCTTCCCGGAGTTCCTGTGACGCAATTAGCCATATAAGGAGCTCGGCCGGCGCGGCCGAGTGTTTGTTTGGTATCCTAGCAATGACGTCAGAGGGAATCCCTCGCTCGCTCGCGCGCGCACCCCGCGGAACCCGCCCGCGCCTGCGCAGTGCCACGCCGCCCCGGGGACTGGTATTAATAGGCGCTTAGGCTAGCCGGGGAAGGCCCCTGCTGACCCGGGCCGGGGAGACCCCAGTTGGGGGGTCTCCTTTACCTCTGGAGCCCCGCCCCGCCGCATTCTCCCGCAGGTGCAGCGGCCCCACTCGAGAGGAAGAGCGCATCTCCAAAAGGAGACTCTGATTAGTGTGGTGGGGTCACAGAGGCGGGGAAACTGAGTCCCGAGTAAGGTTGGAGGGACTGTGATGCGCCAGGTGACAGTGGAGGTGGGGGTGGAATCCCAAGGCTCATCCTAGCTTCTGCCCTGACTCGCTGGGCGAGTCTGGGAAATGTTTTCCCTCTCTGAGCTTCAACTCCAGTTTTCCCAGCTGGGCACAGGATGTGTATCTTGGAATGGGCTGGCCTTCCAGGTCCGGCGTTGGGAGGAATGCAGGATGGAGAATGAAAGAGCAAAGCCTCCCTTCTGATGGTGTTGGTGGCCTCTCCTTCCCGCTTTATAATCCTATCTGGAGAAAGAATGTGTGTGTTGGGGGGAGAAGATAATTAATATAATAATAATAATTGATTCCTTGTATTTAGCACTTACCAAATACTAGCTCCTGTGCTAAACCTTTCAATACAAGATTGGTAATCCGTAAAACAGCTTTGAAAGATTAAGAGAGAAAAATCTTCATTTTATAAAAGAGAAAAATGATACTCGGAGAAGTTAAATGGTTTGCCCAAGATCCCATTGCTAGAAATTCAAACCCAGAATTGTCATACTTCAGAACTACTCATTCAGTTTCTTTCCTGATTTCTGAGACCTGCCTGGTTGGATGAAACTCTGAAAAATCTGTGTCTGGGGATTGTTTAAATGATAATGGTGGTAATAATAGATGCCATTTGTGGGGGAATTGTAAGCTTCACAATCCCACCTAGCTGCTCCCAGCTGTAATCTGGTCTCAGAGAGGTAAAGCTGCTCACCAGAGGCAGCCCAGTGAGCAAGTGGGGTTCAAGAGTCTCACCTGGGTATTTCTGATGCTGCAGGCCCCAACTCTTAAGCACCCACTGGGCGGGGTGCCCATAGCTACTTCACAAACCTCAGAGACTCCAGCCCTTCTGCCAGCGCACAGCCTGGCCCAATCCTGGGCACAGAGGGAGGTGCACTTTAAAAATGTTTAATCTCACAGGCCCAGAGAGGGGGAGGGCCTGGCTCAGGGTCACACAGCAAGTCTGAGGCAGAGCAGGAGGAGGGGATGGTTCCTAATTCCCAAGAAAGTCCCGATTCCCGGTCTCAATAGTGGGGCAGTGTGGAAGGTTGGAGGGACATGGGGACAATAAGGGGAGATTCAGGCTTCTAGACAAAAACCCAGCCTCAAGCCTGCCCTACGCCCCCTCTGTCTGCACCAGTTGGGAAGGAGGGACAGGAGGGACTGGGAGATGACACAGCCACCACTGAGGCAGTGACTCGGCCCTAGCATCAGACAGGGAGTGACCCCTCATTCCTCTGTCCCATCCAAGCCCCTCATCTCCTCCCCCACGGAATAAAGGAGACACACAAATACCTACCCTGGCTGCCAAGAGACTTTCACACCTGGCACAGGTGGCATATTCATCTACATAGCCGTTGCCATTTACTCACAGGCCCACAGTGTCACACATGGGCACTCAGACATTCGCCCACAAGCAGCAACACACGTGGCCACACATAAACAGCTTCACAGGCACATAGCTGCATGTAGAAACAAACACTGTCACGTGGTTACCAACACACATGACACGCGTCCAGACACACAAAAAGACATAAGGATCAGGTGTACAGCCAGATGGAGACAGGCACAGACCCCCAAACACACGGAGACCCCTAAACCTTTACTAAAGATGCATGTATGTTCATGGTGTGCACATATGTTCACATTCACACAACAGAGATCAAGACAACAGACACACGTACACACTCAGGCCAACAACCCACACATCCTACAGAGGCACCCACGTGTGTAGCTCTTCCCACAACAATAACAAGAGCTAATTCTTCCCAAGAGCTTGTATTACCTTATTTAATTTTCACAACACTCCCGTGATGTAAGAACTATCATTTTACAAACAAAGAAACAAAGGCCCAAAGAGGTGCAATTGCTTGGCCAAAGTCACAGTGAGTAAGTGGCAGAGTGGCAGGCTTCAGAGCCTGTGCTTCGAGCGATGATTAAATGAATTTATGTATGTCAATATGTTACTATTAACACACAGATGGTCACAGTCACGCAGACACCGGGGCACTGACCGCCAACCCACTTGGACCCAGAAGCTGGGTGACCTGGGCTTACATTCTGGCCCTCCCACTAAGTGGCTCAGTGAACTTGACCTAGTGACATCTGGAGCCTCAGTTTCCTCGCCTGGAAGAGGAGGATGTGAATAGTGCCCAGCTCGGGAGGCTGGTGGACAGATTCCGGAAAGCTCCTGGCACATTGCAGACGCTTGTTTTGTTATTGAAACAAGGTCACCCCGACCTTTACACATGCCTTCATTTCTATGGGTCACCTAAATTTATCATGGGCCCTAGGCACTGTGCCTTCCGTGCCTGAGGGAGGAGTTGGCCCTGTACACACACACACATGCGCAGACGGACTCAAGCACACTCACAGACGTGACCTGCACGCCTGCCCGCAGAGCATGGGACCCGCAAGTCAAGTTCTCCCCTGCTGGGCTCAATCCTGGGGAGCTTCCAGGCGGAGGAGGACTTGAGCATGGAGGAGAGGGGAGGATCCATGCTGTGGCTCCCAAAGGCTCAGCTCTGCCCCCCTGCTGGGTTGGGGTGGCCTTGCCTGCTCTGGGCTTGCTGTAAACAGCCCGGGGCAGAGTCTGCCATAGGCCAGCCTCGGCAAGTCATTGTGATCGGCAAGTCATTGTGATCGCTGCTACTTGGTTCTTCTTCGGTTTCCCCATCTGCAGAGCAAGAAGGTTGGGGGACGGTGGTCTCTGCAAGTGCTTTCAGGGTCTGAAATGTAATAATAACAAAGGAGGAGGAAGGGGAGGCCGAGCTGCTGAAAGCAAAGGCTGGGAGAGCCCTGCTTAGCGCGCTCACATGTGTTCTCTCCTTCCATCTTCACATCAGCCGGCTGGGTAGGTTCTGTTGTCATCTCCTTGTCTAGGAAAGGAAACTGAGGCAGGGGGAGGTTAGGCCTGAGAGCAGTGCTTCTCAGCTCTTAACGTGAGCGCGATCGCTGCAGAGCGGGTGGGTTCGGGCGGGGTAGTCTTTTGCATTCCTGGCAAGTCCCCGAGTGCTCGTGGTGCTGCAGCTGTGGCTCCACGGAGGAATGAGGTCTAGGAGCATTTCCGAGGCAGGCGTGGGAGGAGGGAGCTGTGCGTGGGTGTGCATGTGCAGGTGTGTCCTCTGTTGTTGTGACTGTGACCTCTGTGAGAGCAGACCCAGGCCAACTTAGTAACTGCTGCCTCCTCGGTGCCCGCATTGAATAGGGAGTGTTACTGGCTGCTGGGGCTGCTTCCCGCTGAGCAATCCTGGAGGCCTCCTGGAGGGGGTGTCCATGGAGTTTCAGGGAAGCACAGTGGCCCAGATCGGGGACTCTTAGCTTGACTCTCTCAACACTCCTGCATTCTGCATCCAACTCCTCACCATGGCCCACGAGGCCTGCATGACTGGCTGGTGCCACCTGCCCCAGTCTCCTCTGTCCCTCCTCCCTGTCATGTCTCAGGAGCCGGGGGACTCTCTCCCTTGCCTTCAGGCTTTTGCACGTGCCCTTCCTCTGCCTGGAGCACTCTTCCCTTTGCTTGCTCTGGCTCATACTCTTTTCCTCCAGGTCCCAGCTCCCATATCTCCTCCTCCAGGAAGCCTTCCCTGATCCCCAGGATGGGTCAGTCCCCCCTCCCAGAGCCTCCCCTTCTCAGCTCTACCAATCCAGGTTCTCCACTGTCTGGG